GCATTATGGATTATCTGAGAAGTTCTGTTAATATTTATACGTGCTGTTGGTTCTATGATCAATAAAAAAAAAGATTTCGAGACACTATTAAAAATAATAAAATTATTTTTACTCCGATAGGTAAAGCTCAGACTTCAGGAGCTGTTAGGAAGAAATTATTTTATTTTCGTTAGGTCTTTGTTTGAAGTTGGCTGCGGGTTTTCGCTGCCACTTGAGTGTTGTAAATGGTTTCTCCTGTGTAGGATTTTACTGGTATTAGGTTATTTAGATTTAAGATAATCAAAGGCCATTTATTTTATCAGTTTTTCGTTGTTTTTAATTTTCGAATTTTTAAGACATTATATAACCTAGATCTCTCCTGGTTGTATTTGCTTGTGAAGTTATATAACAATCAGTTCAGTTATTTCGAAGATTATCCCGGACAGATAGACAACAATTTTAAAAATGGTTATTTATGTAAATAACTCCCTAAGATTAATATAGGTCAGTTATTTCTATATTAAAGGCAGACACTTTAATTTTATTTATATATATTAATAAACAGTGATTTATCAATGTCAAAATACCTGTACTACTGCTGAGCACAAAAAATAGTTAAAAGGTATTTTCATTCCTAGGTTCCTAGAAAACTTTAAATACGATTCACAACCCTAGAATTATTTTAAATATGTCTCTTATATTTCGTAAATCGTTCTTGCTCTCCATAGCCATATTTGGTTATCAATAAGGAAGTCCGTAACTACATGGTCGTTATCTTCGCCGATAGGTCAGGTGATGATCTGATATGTCGGTACAATAGAGCATCGCTTCGGGGCGTACATGCTTGTTAGCTTCTTCTACAGTGTTCCGTTATGTTAGTTATGACATAAGCTTTGTTGCGATGTGTATCAAGTGCACTTCGAAAGTTAACTCTTAGAAATATTTTTGTTTTCATTTGCCTTCTACCTCTTTAAGTGTGTAGGTACATATTTTGTGTAATTTATTTATTTATTTGTTTCATCCTAGCCAATCGTGGATAGGATGAAAGATGGCTATGATGAAGTTGGACTTACGTAGTAACGTAAGTCCAACTTCGATCTAGAGGTCAATTGACGGATCCAATTTTGCAGAGCAGTGTTTGGGAGATTACGTGACATTTACTCATCACGAATTCCTCACATCTTTAAAACAAGAGTGTATATTAATCAGGGGATATGAGACGTGGTTCTTTACTACTGAACGGATGTTTCAATCAAGGTTGCTCAGCGAGCTGTGGAGAAGGTTGTGTTATGGAGTTCCTTTGCGTAATGAGGATATCTACAATGGTGTCAATGGGCCGGCCATACGGCTCGTAGAACCGACAAATGAAGAGGAAGGAAGGTTCTTGAGTACCAGCAACACGAGATGTTCAACAGTGTACTTGTGAAGGGCTGTAATGATGATGATTTGTTTCATCAATTTTTTCTTTCTTTCCTCGGAATGTAAAGGGGAATACCTAAGTCGTTTTATTCCTCAAATGCCAATCTTACCTGTTTGTTACTAAGAATCACAATTTTATAATATATAAATCTTAATCCCTGTGGACTAAAATGGAATGCATCATTGCCAGTGAAAGTCAAAGTCAAATATTGTCATTGAAAATTGGCTTTAATAAAGCACTTTTTGAAAGTCAAATGCTACGCCAATCCTTCAACGTGTGTCTACTGCGGGGACACCTTGTGAGAAGAGACGACAAGAAGCTCAAAAGTTCGCTATTTTTCTTACAACAGTTATAATTTATACTTATAATATATACTCGTAATATAAGTTAAAATAATTCTATGGTAGCTCATTATGTCCATGCATTCTTATCTTTTTATTAATCATCTAATTTATAATATCCTTTCTTCAAAAGAGTGTTTTTCCACGCGCTCTGAAATTATTCAAAGGAAAATCAGTACATTCATTCCGTGTAATACACTGAATAAATGTGTGTTTTGGAACAGCAAGATTAAAATTATTGCGCGTGTTAAAATTATGGGCTTTACTCATATCAAAGGTATTATAATAGTTACTTACATAAATAATATTGTGCAGCTGAAATAAATCAGCCTTGTTGTATCTACATCTGTTAACGGCCTTATCTTTCTTATTAAATACACAGCGGAACTAGGTCTCTTTGACAAGACTTCAATATGAGGCCCCCATAGTAAAAAGAGTCTCCGGTTCTGTACACTCACCGCACGAAACACAGCATTCAGCTGCTATTTTACACTGGTATTCTATGAGAGCGTGGTCTTTAACTGCACACGAAACACAGTAGTATTCAGCTGCTAATTTTGTACTGGTATTCTGTGAGAGCGTGGTCTTGCTACTTAGCTTTTACACGTTAATTAACTTGTCTGTTAGTAAACGCTCTAATAATTACTTTGACCAAACAAAAGCTATTTTTAAAACAAAGAATTATTCACACGAAATTTAGTTATATTACAGCACTAAACACCAAAATTAACCGACACACTTTGAGCAACGATATTTTTCGGAATGTTAAAATTTCATCATCAAATAAATCGTAAAAAAATGAATGCCACTTGCATCAATTTTTTAAGCAATGTCTGCGTAGATAATAGAGACCATAGATGGTAGGAGAAAGAGAAACACGGCCACGAATAAATTTTGCATACCAACGCCTTACGGTATTTAAATAAGATGCTTCCCTTATAAAAGCATTTTGAAGACGAGCAGTGTAAGCACACGAAGTGAGTGAATATTTAAAATCCTAAAAAATCGTCGCCCAAAAGTTTTCGCATTAATTCCACTTTTGCTATTGATGACGGAACTAAACCAATCAGACAGAAAAGAAAATATTTAAATGAATGTATGAGTTATTTATGTTTTAAAAAATATAACATTCGAAATTCAAAGGAGAAGAGATCTTTCACCTAACACCATTAAAACGTATTATTCAAATTTCTTGCAGCCCGGAAATCAGCCTTAAGTATCAAAATATATAAGTTGCGAGTAATTTTTTGATTTAATTTCTTCAGAACAGCCTATCAAAAGTCGACAGCTGAACATGGGCTTTCCCCATAGATTGCCCCATAAGGGGGCTTCTGCTAAAACGCCTAGAACGCGGTTTGGGAGCCGCAGGTTTTTAATATTTTCATTTGTTATAAGAAAGATGCTGCTGCCCATCTCCTGTTCCCTATTTCGCTTTTAGGACACCCACGTTATGGTAGGATGACTCCGTGGCGCACTGGTTTAGCAATGAATTGCGGCACTCAAAGCCGCGGGTTCTTATCCCGCACAGAACAAGTATTTGTATGGCCTACAAGTAATTGTTCCGGGTCCAGATGTTTGTCCTTGTGCAATTTATGTATGTGAACTGCCTCCACGATATAGGAGAAAATCCTAGTGGTAACGTTAAAAAAAAAACAAGGATATGGGTTTAGCGGATCTCTAAACGGAGATTGATTTTACATAATCAGTAACATCCATTAGTACTCAAAGATTAATAGAACGAACTGACAAAGTGTATATATGTATAACACCGTGTCACTAACCGCAGACCCATGGAACGTTTTCCTCAACTACAAAAGTTATGTAGAGATATATTATATAACATTGTTGTGTTGAAGGTAATAAGATATATGAGTAGTTTCAGTCCGTCTTTTTGATTTTTATGAGCCGTATATCATCTATCATTATCATCATTAGCACCCTTCACAAGCTGAACATAGGCCTCCCCAAGGTATGCCACCCAGGACGGTCCTGCGCCACCTGCATCCATCGAATTCCTGTATATCTTACTCTATCTTGTGAGCCCGCTTTCTGGTACGAGGTTGCCGCTCGAGAACCTTTCTTTATCATCGATTACTGGTTCTTCGAGGTACATGGCCGGTCCATTACTACTTTAGCTTACTAATCCTTTAGGTTATGTCGGTTAATCTGATTCTACTGTGGCATAACCCTCTCCATAGCTCGCTAAGCGACCCTGAGCTTCCTCATATAGTCAGCAGTGAAGGACCACTTCTCAGATGCATATTTCATCACTAGCAGCAGTAGTTTATAGGTAATAGTTAGTTAAGTTACTTTGCATTACTTAAGTAAATAACTTCACCTCATGTCCAAGAAGTAAACTATACTTCCGCGATATGTTAAGACTTTTTTTTATAAAATAAGGGTGATAAACGAGCCGTCCACCTGACACAGTCCACCTGAAGGTAAGTGGATGCTGTGGCCCATAGACGTATCATTTCTTCTCGATTAAGAATCAAAACGCTGACACTTTGTCACCCATGAGAACTAAGATGGAATGCCTCGTTTCCAGTAAAAAAGGGTCTCCGGATCTCTACACTCACCATACGAAACACAGCAGTATTAAGCTGCTACTTTACGCTGGCATTCTGTAAGAGAATCCCTGGTTGAGTCGAGTCATTCGTGCTACAACATATAGGTGCAGCATGGCTCTACCACGTATAGAAAGTACATGATGAGATAATAGTGATATTTCGTAAGCTTCTGTCGGCTGGCTCAATATCTTTTATATCTTATTCAGATTATTTCGTCACCATATCAATAAGGAGCAAAGTGATTCTAAGTAATATTCTATTGCTACGAGTAAATCGGAGTGGTCTCATTACGTTCTAACGATCATTAGTGGATATTTTAATGGTTTTGTTATTGAAAGATATCTTGAAATTGCCCGATATTATAATTTATTTGCTCAAAAACTATATTTGAGAGAGGACATTTATAAAATTTTCATAATAGAAATTTATCACATAACATTCAGGTAATATAATGTAAGTTGAACGATGACAACACTTTTTTATTCTTGGTTGAGGATAGACGTAAATGTCTATGGATCATACCGCCCACTTATTGAAAATATGTGGTAGAATGTTATTTTGCCTATTGCTATGCCTTTGTCCCCTTTACATTAATAACAAAAACAAAGAGTAGAGTTTGTCCGTAGGCAAAAAAGGGAGATCTTTTTTCGGGCAAGGAAATATTACAAATGTTGTATCAAATAAACTCACCTAAAGCTAAAAGTGTAATGAGTACCACGGTCCGGGTGTCCATATCCTTCCAAAAAGTCTCACACCGCCACCGCATGATGAATCTGGAAAGAATTTTTAGAAATTTAATATGCAGTTTATACAATTAAAGTTCAAACTCAAAGTTCAAAAGACAAAAGAAGGATATTAGTATTTAAACAAAAATATTAAAAAGATTAATAATCAAAATGCTGATGCCATATCATCCCTGAGAACTAGGATGGAATGCCTCATTTCCAGTAAAAGAGTGGTCGGTTCTTTACACTTACCATGCGAAACACATTTAACTTCTGTTTTACGTTTCTACTTTGATTATACAGGGTTATTTTTCAAAGAGTAGCCAAATTTTATATTTATGTTCAAATATATAAAAAATGATATACCGATATTATAGATTTTTAAAATACCAGTAAATAAGGTTAGAACTACGCGCGCTTCTTTTGTGTGCGATTTAATTCACGTCTTCACTAATGCTTAATTTAATAACTACACGACGCGAGTTATAATTTCAATTTTCCCTCTACACTTTTAATGACGGCTCCATGGCGCAGTGGCTTAGCAATGAGTTGCAGCGCTAAGGGCCGCAGGTTGGAATCCCGCTCGAAACAAGTATTTGTATGGTCTACAAGTAATTGTTTCGGGTCTAGATGTTTGTCCTTGTGAAGTTTATCTATGTAAGCTATCCCACGATACAGGAGAAAATAGTTTAAAACGGTGGAGGTAACGTTTAAAAAAACAAATAGGCTTAGGATTGAAATAAAAAAAATATTTTTTTGCTTATCAAAGACATAATCGTCGACAATTGGAATAAACTATTTTCAAAAAAATTACGCAAGCAGTCCCAATTAGTAATATTGGTACCTCAAAATATAATTCATTGCTCTCTATGCATAGACGAGCTCGTTTTCTTAAATAATTTTTTACACTCATTACCCGTGCTTGAGCACTTTTAATTTCCTTGAACGCAGCAATAATTTTAATGCAACAGTCTTCATAGCTTTAGGCAGATTTGATGTAAACGCGACGCTTTATTCCACCCCACAGATAAAAGTCCAACGGTGAAAGTTCCGGCGAGTTTTCAGAGCATAAGGCCTCCATATGCAATCAACCTATCCTCATATTCGCTATTTAAGTTATCGCACACTGCACTTGAATAGTTTGATTAACTGTCAAATTGTTATTTGATTGGTACGTACGTTAATTTCTTGCTGTGGTAAAGAATCTCTTTCGTATAATCATGATGAGGTCACGGTTAATACTGTCAGCTGTCAGCTGGCCTGGAGGACGTAGTTACTTTACGGTGTAACAGTTAACGAAAGGGAAGGGTGCGGGACGACGCGCGACAAGGTATCTAAATTTTGTAACTGAGCGACCCTTACGAAAGGGCATGCGTAGTAAAAAAAGTAGGTGTTAGATATTTATGAATGACAATCAGCTAAAATAATGCATTATCACACATTCCGAATTTATAGGATAAAAGGACAAAATTTTTGAGATTTTTTTTATAATTGATTTTTCTTCAACATTCACCTATATTACTTATTCTGGATATTTGGCCTGTTATTGCGAAATAGCCCTGTATAGTTACAGCGTGTCTCTGCCATGACTAAAAATCAACGTACGCGTCAACCTCGTTCAAAATATAAATTCTGTTGCAAGTGTTAAGAGATTTTGCTGCGTGGAACAGTACGAATGCTTACATAAAATTTTCTCAAATTATACTAAAATTTAATTCAGCAAAATACAACTGTTTGACTAGTTAAAAATATTATAATCGTGTATTACATCAAGCTGTCATAAAATAAAAATATTTTAGTTCTTTATATTTTATTAACCTTTACCGTTACCGTGTAGCCTATTAAAGTCATAGATATCCCCATAGCAATGCCAAATATCCCCTATATCTGCCATAGTTGCCACCCTTGGAAGCGGGTTAGGGATCGCTATTTTTTATTTTTAGTCTTTATTAGGAAGATGCTGCTGCTCATCACCTGATTTGTTTCCATCTGTCGCCTCTTACGACACCCACGGGTTGATATGGGTTGGTGAAAATTTTTTTACCCCACTATATGGTTAGATTTTTCCCGTCCGCTATATTCAATTTATACTGATGCCTTAATATTATGGGCTACGGAACTCGAGTATTTAAGCTCCGAAAAAAAGATATGAGAAGTCTATCAAAGCTATGGCATGAAAAGTAATAATAAATAGATTTAATTTAATTTTATTTTATTGAAACCTAAAATATAATAACATATACCTACAAGTTACATCTATAACTCTAATAACATAGACTATACATTGGTAGACTCTGGTAGAGTATATAAATTTTTTAATAATACTAATTGAAACTCACTCTTATCTTTAATTTACCATTGATTCGGATAACACCTCTGTGATCTTGCTCACAGAGGTATTATCCATTTTTTGAAAATAATTGAATATGTTTACACAATAATTAACAACACAAAACATATTAGAAATAGCTTGGTATCGATCACTTCATTCCTAGGAGTTATTATCATCCATAAATTCCTCAACATTACAATAACCATTTTTATACAATCCTAAGTAAGTAGTAAATTCTTTTAGCGTACTTCGGAATACATCATCATCATTGTCATCATCACAGCCCTTCACAAGTCCACTGCTGAACATAGGCCTCCCCCAAGGTATGTCACAAAGCACGGTCCTGAGCCACCTGCATCCATGAATGCAGTCACGCAGGAAGTCGACATACTATACATACACATACTAATACCTAATTAAAAACTCATACCTCACTCCCTCGCGATTATAGATGGGAAACGTTGGGACTTGCAAATGAGTTGAAATTAAATGCGATGAAATCCGTAAATTCCAATGAAAATGAAATTTATTAAATCATTATTAATTATTACCTTAATTATTAATAAAGTGAAAATACGTGCGTGTATAACGTGGTGTCGGGAACATTTATTGCACAGAGCATCATCACGACTGCGCGTGACTGTCTTTATCAAGATCAGCCACTCCTTGCAGCGTGGGATTATAAGTTCGCAAATTTTACCGGAAGTCACATAACGGGGCTTTACTTTATGGGTCTTTTATCATCATCGTTGTCGGCATATCACAACACCCCCCTATGGCTCTGCCAACCATCTGGTAATACAGACCGAATCTTGGGAGGAACACGCGACAAATGTGGTTCTTTTCCACGTGCTCTTTATATGTAACCGGTAGTTATCGGTCACACTGACCATGAGTCTATCGTTGTAGGAAGGATTTGCCTTGAGAGAAGCTCTTGGCAGATAGATAGGCATTTCAATCGTCTCGTACCTATGACGATTGGCTGGGCCGGTTTGGAATTTTTTATAGAATAGGGGCGACAAAAAGCACACAGTCCACATGTATCATCGAAATGATGATGCGCTCTCATCCTTAAGGACTATACTGGAATGCTTATATATGTGTATACCAGTGCGTCTGATGTAAACGAGATGATTATACCGCCATCTATTTTTTATATATAAAGAATACTAGAAACGCTATTAGCATTAGTAATACATAATACCTGTTAATTACTTTAATTAAGCTTAAAATACTTGTATTAGGGGCCTAGAAAGAGAGTGTAGTGGCAGTGTAAGAATATCCACTACCCGATATCGTTTCGTGGGTATTTAGGAAAGTGAAACAGGAGACAGGCATCTTCCTGATAACTATTGGAAAAAATAAAAAAATACGGTTGCCAAAACCGCATTTTAAGCGAGGTAACTATAGTATGGTATCCACTCCATTAGACAATCTGTGGGGTCTATGTTCAGCAGTGGACTCGTGATAAGCACTAATGGTAATGGCTTGTCTAAGGAGCAGTTCACGATAGTATCCAAATCCACGGCTTTTTAAGTTTGCAGTCAGTAACCATAACCATAACGATTCTATATGCCTATTAGACAAACTTTGTATGATTTCTGGGACTTTTTATTTATAATTGCCTTATGAATGAACTAATAACTCTGTAAAGTCGATTAACTGGAGTTACTTATTTTGTGAAAATTGGAAATTAAAATAACTAAAATGGTATTTAATATAAACTGTACAAAAAAAAATAACAACCTTCAGCGTGGGTCGCTAAGCGTGCAGCCCTATCCGCCATTGTCGTTTACAATTAATAACTTTCATACGCGATGTCGTGGGCGACTTTCGCTAACCTCTGAACTAAATACCTACCTACACTTCAATATTGTTACTTACGACATATATATTAATTCGGATATTTAAAAAAAAGTTACCTTGACACTAGGATTTTGTCCAGTATCGTGGAGGAAGTTTACAAACATAAATTGCACAAGGATAAACATCGATATCCCGACCAATTATTTGTAGGCTGCGGGATTTAAGCCCGCGGCTTTTAGTGCCGCATCTCACTACTAACACAAGCCACGGAGCCATCGAGTAGAGCTTATATATAAGATATAAGCTATCTCAGGGGACACGCGCTGGCCTTAAACTTTCATACTAAGAGTAAAACGACGTTAAATTCTAAGCATAAATGATTTTCAATAAGTATTACATACTTGTAATCTATCTCTCACGCCTGTCACCTAGAGGTGTAGGCAGAGACTACGGACTTCCATCATGCCAAATAGCATGATCTTGACACACCTCTCTCGCCTTCTGCACAATATATTGCCAAATTGGTCGATAAACTTTACCTGGGGTGTTTATCGACAAGTTTCCTTAGGGCGTCCCTTCCCACTCTGCCGTTCACTTCTGCAATATAAATTTGCTTTGTCACTCTTCTCGTTCATTCCTACCGCATTAATAAACTACAGAAGCACTCCTTTCCTGGTCACAACATCATCTTATAATTTAAGTTGAATAAAAATATTCTATTCTATTCTAAATTTATTTCTAAATTTCTAATGTCTGAAAAAGGCCATCAAGTACTGTTACTTTCATATTAACTTACATATATGTACATAATATAAGTACTGTTACTTTCTCTAAAGATAATACACCACTTAATCTATACATTTAAATATG